CTAACTACATAATAATAAATGCAACCTTTAAATTTTATTGGTTAATTATCACATGTTCGAATGTTTAGCCAATTATGGATCATCATTCAATTTCATGTGATTGACCAATCACGAGAAAGTTATCCTATAGTGAATAAACGATGTCAAGCTGAAGGTCACTTCCGACCCTATCCGAATCCAATGTTAAGTAGTTTAACCACATGGTTAAAAACGTGATCTATTCAATAGAACTAGCTAGTTTAACTAACTAGTCAGTACACTAAAAACCGTGGTTTAATATAAATTCTGACCACTAGTCAGACTACTTAACATCCCTAATAAAATCATAGGATCTTGTATCTTGTGTAAAAGTCTACGACCCATATTTTTTTTGGCCGGCTCGAATTATTAAAAAGGGTAGAATCCTTACTAGATATTTTGTTCAACGTTTTCTCATGCATTACGGTATCTACGATTAAAGATTGGTGTAAGACAACCTGATACTGACAGGTTACTGCAAAATAATTGTTGGGTTAATGATTTGCCACCTTTAGTTTTTGAATTTTTATTAAATGAAGTATCTGATCTATTCAAAGATCTACCTCTGATATGGAAAATTTCTATTATCTTTCCGGTGGTCCTCATCAAATTGGATATGAAACAAGCATTTTGAAAAAAAAATAAGGATGAAATAAAAGACCTAGTATTAAACATGAAATTTATACCATTTCCTCCAAGAAAGTTTAATAACACACAAGCCAGCTTATCCTCATCAAGACGGTTACGAGAACAATCGATACCTTAATATAATTGTAAGGGCCATTTTAATTGATAAAGAATTTGTGAATTTATATCATGAACTATGCGATGACTTTAATGATCTCGTAATTCAAAGCGTGTTTCTTATGCTTTTCTCATCAACAATATCTATCGGTCAATCATTACATATAAAGTTATAAACTTGAAATTCGTTTACTTTATCGATTGCACTATGTAGTACTATGGCGCATCATATTTTCCGGTGCGATCATACTGAATAAAACAACATACCATGAAGTTAATAATTATTCAATATTTTTGAATGAAATACTTTTGAATGCGTGCATCTACATTGTATCACACATCCACTCTAGATATACACGACATCCAAAGCATATCTCAAATTCATATCGATATAATCAATAAATTTAAGGAATTGATACGTATTTCCACACCCTTTTTTTGATATTGCCACACCCCTGCATACTCTAAACTAACCAACACCCTAATAATTTATATTGATTTTTATTAGCAGGGGTGTGGCAATATCAAAAAAGGGTGTGGAAATATCAATTCCCTAAATTTAATTCTAAACATTGTTACTTATAAGATTGACATAGATTATCTTAATAAATTTTGAGTAATTTCAATTTTTTTTTTCGGTTTGATGTCCCGTGACAACAATGCGTCCATCTTATGAAAAAGCCACGATATCTTTTAAATGTGCTTTTTAAAGCATGAATGGGTACATAAATAATTTAGGCGAGTAGTAAAAAACAAAAATGAGCATGATTTCAAAAATTAATGATTGTTCATACGCCATGTAATGTTGTGTTCGTTTAACTTATTACTATACTGTAGTAAGTTAATAGATTTAGATAAATCGTATAGAAGTTTTTTTTTTAAAAAAAAAAATCATGTAAATAACAGATAAAAGCGATAACGATAGTTGGTATATCTGGAAATATCACTTCGAATTTATCTATCCGCCACCGCCTGTTCGGAGATCACTTAGATCACTTCTGGTTGACACATACAGCAATTGTTCAAGGACCTGCTCAAAGCGCATCGCAATTGCGCGACGCCAAATTTATTTACTACAATTCTATATATTATAGAGGAAATAAAGATTTCAATGTAGAAAATTCCATGTGTGTGTGGTAAAAAAAAAGAAAAGAAAATCATGTTCCCGTTAAAAAAAAAAACTAGCCACATTAAGTCCAACACCATATTTGAATTCTGCTTTGTATGTTTTTAGCAATAAGTTTGGCGTGTAATTTATCGTGATGACAATCTGGACTGAACCATTAGAACGAGATATATACTGAATGTAGACTAGTTTTGAGTCAAAGTGTATTTTTAACACCCAATTTGAACTTAAGCAAGCAAAGTTAGAACATGTCAAATGCATAATGTTTTTTTACTGATCCAGATTTTTTAGGTTCCATCACGTGCTGTAGCAATGTAAGCCTTGATGTATGTTCTAATATCCCGGAGTACAAGAAATTCATTATATGCATTACGTACTATTTTGCTAACTGTTGGAAATCAGGTACGTACATAACGATTAGATATAAATGTACGTCCGTATACGTAAATATATGTAAGTACGAGACATTTTTGTGTAGCATACTACGTATTGTTTCAAAAACAAGTAATGATTTGCTTATGTTACTATAGGATCGAATCTACCTAACTCCACGTCAGACGGTTGGTTCAAAGTTTTAATCGTACGTATAGTATAAATCGTTGTACGAAACGCATGTAGATCTTCCACAAAATTTAATCCGCTAATGAGGGAGAAATCCGCTTTTATAATACAAAACTTAAAACGCAGATTTTACCCTAACCTGATCTACAAAGCGGATTTCACTATTTCGCAACTCAGGTTTCACCCTGTTTTATGATTTTCATGTTATCCTAATTAACACAACCCCAGTGCACATATCCCAATTAAGTCCTTTTTTATATATTAATTTTTTAAAGAAGGGCATGCCCCGGGACACCGTACCCCCTACTCTAATTTTAAGATATCAACTTACCTGTGTACATGCAATATTAGCTATTAGGCAAAGTTATAAATATATATTTTCTAAAAGCTTGATACAGATTAACTTTTTATTAATATATTTTTAGTTTTTTGTCTTACAAAATATTGAGAACCAGATTTAACTTGAGCTTGGAACTTAATTTAGAGCCTAAAGGTTTTAGAACCCAAACCAAACCTAAACCATCCCTAACGGTAGTTGATAAACGAATTTTCGTCATCGTCCAGGTCAGCCAATAAATCATCAATACTTAACTCATTTTCAATAGTAGATGTACTTTCTTCTTCATCTTTTTCTTCCAATCTAGTCTTTAATCGTTTGGGATTCGGACTCATTGAGGCCAATAAGTCTCCTACCGCAATAGGATTTTCCTTCCGTTGAAAATATTGTGGAATCTGTGCAAGAGGCGGAACATATTGCGTCATTGCCGTGGTAGTCGATAAGGAGTCTGCTACCGCAGTCTCATTGGCTTTTGGTCTTCTGTTTGTTGAAGTTGAAGTAGGATTTACGGGTGTAGCAGTAGAAGGTGCAATGTACTGACTTGATGCATTATTTGAATCGGCTATCTGAGTGGTTGTAGCATTGGATTCTTCTCTTCCGCCCATAAGATTAAACAGCATCTGTCGATCTTGTTCCGATGGATTAAAGTTCGTACTATAAAATGCCAAAAAATCATTCTCGGCTTCTTCATCCAAGTCAATGTCATCATGATCATCAGGATCATATCCTAACTGTGACGTAAGTGATGTAAGATAATCAACATTTGATTCCACTGCGTTTATTCGAGTTTCAAGTTCTTGAAGACTTTCTTTACGATTTACATTTAAGTTCGATGCTGCAGGCGAGACAGTTACTGCTTGTTTCGGAACAGAAGGCGTTCCCGTTGGTAATTTATAATGGGGAGTAGTAGTGGTTTGCGTAGTATCGGTTATTGTATTGTTAGGAATAGATGGCTCTGTACCATTTACAAGAGGTGAATTGTTATCACGAGCAGTGGACGATGGGTCACTTGAGGGTATAATTTGATCAGGCTGAAGCAATGTGGAAAGGTCTGTTGCATCTAAAAAATCAGCTGGATCACTTATTTCATCTGGTGGTATCGACGATGCTGCTGGCAAAGTGTTGAAAATATCAAATTGTGGCAAATTGTTTAGTGCTGACGGATTATTTACTGCAAGTGATGCCAATATTGACAATGCCGCTAAAAATTTAAATAATTTTAGATTTCTTATCATAAAAATTCAATCACACTTATGTATATATACTCATATGGAATACCTGGATTGTTGATGTCCAGCATTAAAGATGTAATATCATTTTCGGCAGTTGGAGTATTAGATGAAGCACCTTGTCCACCTTCGTTGTCCAATGCCCAATTTCCTGATCCCATCATTTCCTGATTTGCATAATTCGTATCAGAATTTCCAATTAATAATCTTCGTTTTTTTGGTACAATTGCTCTCTTTTTGTCAGCCGAAAATACTGACGCAAGAAAACGAAGAATTTTATCAATGGTCTCCTGTTGGCGTCGATGTCTGTCACGTGCAGAAATTGTTTCTTGCCATAAAATTTGATTTTCTTTTTGAATATTCTTCAAATCTGCACTAATAGTCATCTGATGCTTCTTAATTGACGCAATTTCATTCAAGATATGATTAATATCAATTTCATTTGGCTCTTTGATGTTTTCAGTATCTTTGCCTTTCTTTCGAGTAACAAAATATAAAAGATCTGGTTGATTCCTAAGAAAATTTGTATTGCTAAATTCCCATTGTTCTGATTGTCCATCGGACTGAAGTACTCCTTGTTGAAGATGTGGTATTTTATGAAATCCATACATATTTAATTGTCTGACAAAACTGCTAAAATTATTGTGTTTAAAAAAGCGGGGAAGAACTTCTTTGGCGAAATCTTGAGGTCGTTTTACTAAATAATGAACAAAGAAGATAATTTTAAAACATATTCTGGACCGAACGAGATTCAAGTGGATTTATGTTTTGATCTGTGAACAATTGCAATTTTTTCTTGAATTGATATTCAAATATATTAATGAATCAAGGATTATTCCAGAAAGAAGGTGTATTTACCCAAGAAGGAATTTCCACTTTCTGACCAAGTGATCAGCTCATTAGACTGAGGATCATTCACCATACTAAATATATACATATATAAGCCTATGCTTAATAACTAAGAATGCAAGACCTATATGTGGCTTACTTATAAAGTTTATTCAAAAATGCCGGTACACTTCGATTACCAGTCCTCGGAGACCTTGGAGCGTTTCTCAAATGAGATGCGGGAAAGGAAAGATTAGTCGAATCCTCGGGTGAGCCTGGGGGACCGCATTCTAGAGTTTCCGACGGTGTTTGGGATGGGGCTGGGCGCTTTCTTGATGCCGCTATAGTTGAAGCTGACTGTGGTTGTTCAGACTGCGTTTGTTGCATTTCTTCCAAAGCTTAATACAAATTTTATTGTAATGATTATATTGCTTTCAGGTCTAAAATATACGAATATTCAAAATATGCGGATATAAGAATCGGATTTGTTTGCAACGTAATCTTTGATTTATTAAAGTTAACATATCATAGGCTTGGGTAAACTCTAACCAATTAATTTCGAAGATTTTCACGTGTCAAGTCCTACAGTATATATGGCAAATAAAATTTTGCCAAATATTTCAATCAAAATACACTAAAGACAATAGAACAAAAGTTCAATTTTTTTGTCTTTATATAAAAAAATTTTTTCCTTATTAATAATTTATAATTATTTAAATAGAGCATTAGTAAAGTAATAAATTTAAAATATTTTTTATAGACTATCGCTAATTTTCACTTTAAGTGATATCACCTTGTCGTATAAAAATCAATCAGATCGCTGGATCTTAAAAACCATGCTTCGACTTCTAAGCAAAACCTTTCAGTATCAAATTTTACATATATCTAAACTCTTTTAATGCTAACTTTAACTCCTAACATTAAATTTATTTACTTATAATAATATCGGGTAATATTATCTAGGATGAAAGTAGCTTCGTACAACAAAAATAAAGATTTTTTTAAAAAATTAATTATAGTTCAAAATTTTGTCTATAAAATTACTTTTTTGCTCTAATAAAAAATTGTTTTTAAATTTTATTATGTTTTAATATCAAAATAATTAACATTACGTCAATATTTGATATGTTATGCCATTATAGTGCTATAAGAGTATTTTATAATCATTTTTATATTTAATAAATAAAAAAGAATAGAATTATATATTAATAAAAAAAAATATATGGCAACTAGTGTAGAACTTATATAGCAATGTGTAAGCAGACTACTTAAATTAGGCACCAAAAGTGCATGTGTGGTTAGTTGTAACCTCCAATGTAAGGTGAGCTTCTGGTGACATGCCATGTCCTAATATACTTGAATAAAAACATTGTATCCCCAAGATAGAAACTTTAACTATAAAAAAAAAAAAATTAAATAAAAAAAAATATAATAAAATGTTAACTCTATAATATATCAATACAGTATATACTTTTATATCAGTTTTAAAAAATTATTAATCAATGCTTAAAAATGTAAAAGTTTTATAATTTTTAGTAGATTTATAATTATATTTTATTATTTAAAGCAAAGCAATAAACTTTTGTTTTAATGATTAAAATTATAATTGTAATGATTTTATAACAATAATTTTTTTTTTGTTAAGGTGATCTCTCTGGTCTTTTGACTTTTATTAATGATTTTTTTGGTAATATGATTCAGTGAACTATTATAAGAATGTACAATTAGTTACATATATAACTGCTTTATATTACTTATTTAAGGAGTCTGTCCAAAGGTTCTTTACCAATTGTTATATCTAACACTTCTGTTTGGATATTTTACTTTAAACTTTCTAAATCTGTAATCTGTGTTAATTTCACTAGATTATATTTAGTTACTTAAATTATTATCTTAACTTTAGAGTGGTGTAGTAACCTAGTGAAGTGATCAGGTTGTCAACCCTCAAGTGGTAGATTGGGTGTTCAAATCCCATCAACAGTAAAAATTTAAATAATCACTTATATAATATTCATATTATAACAATTGTTACTAATGATTAGGTTAGGATATCTGTAATGATAGTCACACCAGCATGACTGGCAGGTCATAGAGTAACTGTGCAATGTTAGAGTTATACAGAAGAATGCAAACTGACATATCGGGTGATGCAAAACTAGATAAGTCCTTGTGACTATGTAAATCTGTTAAAATTAGATAACAAGAAGTCTATTTGAGAAGATCTGAGTAGAGAGATAGCTGGATTTTTGATAATCTTAATATAAAGGCTAGCTTGACGAAATAAATACCAAGGTTTAATACCTGGTCCTAGTAGTCAGACGGGTAAGAACCTCCAGATTGGGAGTCTCAAAGATATCACCAACCAGGTTGCTAGAATGAACCAAAGAAAAAGGATATCAGGCCGATCTGATATACTGATAGACTAATCGTAGTCCTACATGGGTTATCTGAATTGGGTGTTTGATAAAAGGACAGAAGAAAAGGCAGAGGTATACTAAAGTACTGGAGTTATGCTATAAAGTAGATGCTGAGGTCTAAGTAAACTCTACAAGGGCATAGCAGTTTAATGGTTAGCCCTGATTGCAAGTGTTAGTTCTACTATAGTGATACCTAGGTTAGTTATAAAAATGGGTACAGAAGGCTCTGAGGGGTTTACCTCGAGGATAAATTAGTTCTAAGATTAAAGATGATGATCTGAACATCTAAAATGATTAGTAATGTTAATACAGATTACAGGTTCAAAAGGTTTAAAGTAAAACACTTAAGCAGAAGTGTTAGGTATGGCAATTGATGAGGAACCTTTGGGTAGACTCCTTAAATAAGTAATATAAAAAGTTATACGTATAACCAATTGTATGCTCTCCTGTAGTGGTTTACTGAACCACAATACTGATAAGTGATTAATAAAAGTCAAAAGACCAAAGAGGTTACCTTAATGCCAAAAAAAATCTTAACCTTAGAACTATTTTATCTTCAAGATAAATTTTTCAGAGTTTTTTGTACTTATTTTTACAGTTGACTTGGTATTACTATAGTAGAACTAATACTTGCAATCAGAACTAATTATTAAACTACTATGCTTTTGTAGAGTTCACACAGATCTTAGCATTTACTTCATATTATATCTCTAATATTTTAATATAATTTTATTTTTTTATTAGACTCTTAATCTAAATAGTCTATATAAGACTATAATTAATTTATTAGTATATTGGGTTAGCACAATATCTTTTTCTTCTAATTCATTCTAGCAGCCTGGTTGGAGTTAGTAATGTAATAAAATTTACTAAAAACTAACAAGTTGTAATAATTTTAAATAACACAAATGCTAAATAGAAGATTTTTTATTTAAAAAAAAATAAAATAAATAAAAATAAGAAATAATATAAAAAATAAATATTTAAAGTAGAATTTAAATTTAATAGCCTTCTAGACATTATAAAGTACAACAATAGAATCAGTTTTTAAACTAATTCTACTATTTAGTCTATGCAAATCAGACATAACAAAATGTTTATTTTATATAAGAATTATCAAATTTTAAAACTTAGAAATATTTATAAAGTATAATTAGAAAAAAAAAACCTTGATAACCTAACTGTTAACAGCTATATGTAGGCTTTAAATTTTAAAAATATAAAGCTAGTATTTGTTAAATAACTAATTAAAAAAACTAGCTTTTTACTTTATAAGAAAAAAGAAGAAAAATAAACTAAATAAAGATAAATTATAAAGAAAAATAAAATAAAAAATAAAACAAAGAATAGATTTTATTAATAATAACAAGATAAAATAGGTAAAATAATATTTTATTAAAGGGGTATAGTGACCTAGTAAAGTGGTCAGGTTGTTAATCCTTCAAGTAGTAGGTTGGGTGTTCAAATTCTATCGATAGTGAAAATTTGAATAATCATCTATATAATGGCAACTGTTCTTAATGATTAGATTAAGATACTTGTAATTATAGTTATATCAGCATGACAGGCAAGTCATGAGGCATCTATATAACTTGTTATATAGAGAAATGCAAACTGACAAATCAGATGGTACAAATACAAGATAAGTCCTTATGGCTGTATAAATTCATAGAAATTGGAAAACAAAAAGCCTATTTGAAAAGTTCTAAGTAGAAAGATAATATAAATCTTTGATAGTACTACTGTAAAGGCTAGATCTAAGAAACAGATACCAATACTAAAGTAGCCAGATAGGCAAGAACCCCTGGGTTGGGAGTCTTGAAGGTATCACCAACCAGGCCACTAGATCAGATTAGAATAAAAGAATATTAAGCTAATCTAATATATCAATAGACTGATCATAGTCCTATATAGGCTATCTGGATTAAGAGTTTGATAAAAGAAGCAGAGATATACTAAAGTACTAGAGATATGCTATGAAGTAGATACTGGAGTCTGAGTAAACTTTACAAAGGCATAGCAGTTTAATGGTTAGCTCTGACTGCAAGTGTTGGTTCTGTCATAGTGATATTTAGATCAGCTGCAAAAATATATAAACAGCAAATTCTGGTAGGTTTACCTTAAAGATAAAAATGTCCTAAGGTTGAAATAAAAGATTCAGGCTTGACCTAGTAAAGTAACATGAAACAGATTCAAAGAGTTTAAATAGAACACCTAAGCAAAAGTATTAGGTATAGCAATTGGTAAGAAACATTAAACAGACTCCTTAAATAGATAATATAGAAAGTTATACAAGTGCCCAATTGTATACTCTTTCTGTAGTAGCTTCTTATGAAACTACATTTCTAAAAATATATTAATAAAGTCAAAAGACCAAAGTGGTTACCTTAATACCAAATATATATATATATATATATATTTTATTAAAAAATAATTTAAAACTTTAAAAGAAAATTATCTAAAAACTGTTCTTTTAGAAGAGCAAAAAGCTATCTTTTTTATAGATTTTAACTTAATAATTAATTGGTTTTAGAGTTACTATATGTTGTAGCAGCATCCTGAACTATATAGATGTTCAAAATGCAACAAAAATTAAGAAATTCTATGTACATTTTACCAATAATGCTTGTACACAAATAATAAACCAATGCTGTATCTTTCTATTTTTATCAATGCTTAATACTTAATTATGCAATAACTTACATATTAACTAAAAATAAAACAAATATTATTGTATAGTCTATATGTTCATCTACAATACTTTCTATAATCATTTAGTATTTAGAAGCTTTCTTATAAGTATTGTCCTAAGCATAACTAAAAATAACTATAGTAGCACAGATCAAATAAATAAATAAAAAATAAATAATAGGTAAATAATAGAAAAAAAATCTGTTATTATTCTAGTCTATATCTGCTAGCATAATAGTAGCATAATAGCAAAATAATAGTAAAATAACAGAAGGTTTG